GTAATGTAATATAATAATTGCAAAACAGCAAATACTAATATATTTGTTGTTGTATAGATTCTATTTGGATCAACAAAATAACTTTAAGCTTTGCTCATCATAAATGGTAAACTTAATTGTATAGTACAAGTAAACCAATATATTAAACAATTGAGGAATATATGAACTAAAAATAATAATTAATTACATTTGAAGGAATTCCATAATGATTATCTTAGATCAGGAAATAATTCATAAGATTTAATAAATGTTTTGTAACTAGTAAGTGATGAATATTCTTTAAGAACTTTTGGAATTTACTTTTGATTGAGTGGCTATTTTGATCCTTGCTAAAAATATTTATAAATGTATGATGAATACTTTAAATATATTATATATCCATAAAAATAAGTATGTTTTTATAGTTCCTATTCGTTGACTGGATGTATTAATTCCTAATAAACTCTCTTCTTATTAACCCTTATTATCTACTTTATTCATAAATATATTTATTTCATATGGATTCTAAAGACAAATTATGTTATATAAATAAATATTTATTCCACAAAATATAACATTTTATAATAATAAAATTATGATGCAATTTTATTAATAGCAATTTCAATAAATATATAAATGAATAATAATAACAATTATTATATATAAATCCTTGTACATCAAATTATACTTAATTTCTCACCATAAGGGTAACACATTTCACTTAAATATGATGGAACAGTAATAGCTGCTTCAGATTTGGAAATAGCCAAAATATCTTCAGAATTGAAACCTACAGTCTTCTTCAAACATTAAAGATTCTATTAATGTACATATTAAATATATTTACTTTTTTATCAAGTGTAGATAAATTTGGATGAGTTAAGATCATTCTTAAGAGTTACCTTAAATAAGTAACAGGATGGAATTATAATATATAATATCTTTCTACTAATAGATTGACTACATCATGTAATTATTATTCAGTTGTATTTTCATATTAACATTTAAATATATTATTCCATAATTCCTAATTGTTTTAATCCAATAGAGATAAATCAAACTTTTCTGCAGATTTAGCATGTATCCAACTATATACATTCTATAAAGGATAATCAGTTTCATTCATTGATTCAATATGTTAATCTGATACTTTTCCTACTTATAACATTTCTCTAAGATCTTTCAATTCTTCATCATTTAATCTAGATTCTTCAATCCAAATTAATTTTTCTTATTATTATAAATATAATTAATTATCTCTTCTTCTAAAATGATGTTAAATTCCTTATTTTTTATAATATTTATTGCTTAAAATATCCAAGAATAATTAATCATCAAATAATTGACTTAATTATAATAATAAATCACTAGCACTAAAATCTCCAAATTATTTGAAATCTGAATGAATAAGATCATCAAATTACATATCTTTTATACATAATTAAGTAACTTAAACATTTGGTTAATAAAGACTCAAAGAATCTAAAAATTATAATTCCTAATTATTTAATTATTTGCCTTCCATTTATTTATTCATCAAATAATAAGTAATCAATTTTTCTTCTGCTCTTGATCTCTTTCTTGTAACTAATTGATCCATTCCATATAATAAATCTACATCAAGATATCTATCAGGTGATTATTAGACTTCTAATTTTTCAATATCATTTTCATCAAACAAAATATCAATATAATTAGTTTTCTATTTATAATATGGAGAAGAATGTTTTCTTCTTAATTCACCCTTTATTTCTTAAATTTTATCATGAAGAATATTATTAATTTTACTAACTATATTTTTAGCTTATAATTTATTAATTTCTTTATTCTTAACATCTTCTTACAATTTCATTAATAATTCCTTTCTCATTTTAATTAAATCCTCTAATGTTTTATTGACTTATAATTTCTTTTTTAAATATTGAGTTGTTAAAAATGGATTATACTATTTTATTTGTTCATTCAATAACACTTCTGGATCCCTTTATAAATAGATACCCGCAGGTTTAGTCGATTTCTTAGATGATAATCTCTCTTATATTAATTTATCCCATATTTTCATATTAAATACAAAATCAGAAATTTCAGGTAATGACTTAGATTTCAATTCTGCATTCAAATTCAATAGATTGGCAATGAATAAATCACTTGAATCATGATGATAATCCTTTTAATCTTTTTATAAGAAACTATATAATTAATTAAGTTTTTCAATTTCTTAATCTGACTTTTTATTTGAATGTTTCTTCCAAGCAAGAGAATAAGATTAAACAACTATTTATTATCTACGTTTGTCAGAATGTGGAATTGGTATTACATCTGAAATAAAACCATTATCTTCTAATCTCTTAAATAAATCTTATTCTGGACAATATGTAGGATCATATATTCTATTAGTAATCAAACTAGCTTTAAATCCTTCAATAGTTGATTAAGGATTATATATAGATTAAGATGGAATCATTCCATACCATTTTGGAAACTTAATTGGTTAAACCTTTATTTCATCAATTAAATCTTAGAATACATTATTTTAATTCACAATTCTTAATCTTTCTTATAAATCAAGTAAAGTTTATTTTAATTTTAATTTATTTAAATTATCATTCTTATTTAAATAATTCAATGCTCTTTTCTTTAAATATTACCATTAAGCATTAAAAATTGTTTATGAAGTCAATTCTTTACTATTTTCTTCTACTTAAACACTTTCCAATCTATCTTTAATTTTGTTAAATAAAATGATATCAGAATTTTCAAAATTAAATGCTAATTGCAACTTCTATTTGAATTATTCTTTATCTTTACCTAAGAAATCATATAAAGTCATATATGGTTATGAACCAACTCTTAATTATGCATAACCATTAATTTCATTATTTACACTTAAATCATAAATCTCAATTAATTATACTGATTTAGGTAAAGTATCCTTAATAGCCTTATATAATTCACTATGATTTATATCCTTTTCTTCATAAATTAATTTCTATCCTGAATGTTTTTCTAATACATCAATTCTTATTTATTATTTTTCATTCAAATCTCTAATTGTATTTAAATTCTTAACTCTAAACTTTAATTCTTCAATAAATGCTTCATAATTTTGATTTTACAATGCAAAATATGTAGCATAAGCAATTAATTCATCTAAAGAGAGAATAGTTAAATTATCAGGTAATGGGAATTTTCTATCTGTTTTATTCAATTATAAATGAAGATGCAATGAATCTAATGAATTAAGAAGTTCTTCATCAGTAACTTATGCTAAATATTCTCTACTTTCAGTATTGAGACCAGCATTAGCAAAGGCTTTAGCTAATTTATATTTATCTGAGTGAACTAATAAAGATTATGCATTCTTTAATCTTTATGCAATTTCATGTCCTTTATATTCAGACACAGCTACCATCAAATCTCCAAAATCAGATAATTTTGGTTCAATTGGTTTAACTTAATCTCTGTGAATTAATTACATTTCTAATATACAAATTAAAAATGCCATAAGATCTGGATCTTTTCCTGAAATATATGAAAGTGCTGTTTCTAATGATAATGAAACATCTTCATTTTCAATTTCAGCAGGATGCAATAATCCTTAAGATACTAAAGCTTCTTCGAATTCCATCATTTTAATATTAGTATTAACATGAACCCAATCAGATTTTTAAATTTCAAGTAATTTTAAGTAAACTCTTCTAATTTCTACAATTGCCTCTAAAACATTGAATACATCAGATTATGTTTATTCAATTAATTTTTCAACTTCATAAATTAGATTATTAACAGGTATTTCTTATTTTTCTTCAAAGATTTCTAATAAGAATGCTTCAATTAATTATTTTTCATCAGGATTTAATTCTTTAGCATCTAATTATTAAAATACTTTATCAACTATCTAATCACTATATAATTCAACTCCTGTAAGAGATAATCCATGAATTGCTTCAGCTAATACTCTATAATCATTCAATTTTAATAAATCTTTAATTAAGACATCAAAACCCATAGAAGTTTCTATTTATTTATGATCAAAATAGGTTCTATCTCCTCTTGCTTTTAAAGCATGTCCTAATTAAACAAATGTTTATCCAACAATTTCTTCATTTGAGTATTCTCTTTTCTACAGGAAAGCAGCTAAAATAGTTTTAGAAGGCACATTAGATGTAAAGAAAGCATGATTTTACATTTTGAAGGCAGCTTAAGTATTTTGATCAATTTATTTTTGTAATTAGATTGCTAATAAATATAGATGATTTATGAATACCTTTATTTAGAGCCTTCTTAAATTATTCAAGTTATGTCTTGAATATTTACTTACATTTGAGATATTCATACTCTTCACTAATTCTAAAGAGAGATCTCTATATATATTTAATCATAATTAAAAGATTTTAATATTTTTATATTCATATATTCTTCTTACTCAATGTCACTGTCATTAAATGTTGTTTAGATTAAATAACAATTGATCTATTTCATATTCCATTCTTTTTTAGCCATACTCAATTTCTTTTGAATAGCATTTATAATGACATAATATAATAAAGACTCAATGAATTCTAAATCAATTCTTCGTTATTGATTAAGTGTTATAATTCTTAATAATTTTTTTTTTATAAGTATGATCTTCAAGAGAATATTTGAAACAATAACAAATCTATTTGTAAATCTACTTATATTGCTTATAGTCTATGATAATGAGAATATATTTGATATATAATTTCATATTATTATCTTGCTAAGTATAATTCTTGCTATTTACTATTATCAATATAATCAAATTATAGTTATAATTATCTAGCCATTTTTAATGAAGCTCTTATCCAAATATGCTATTTCAATTAATATTTGATATTATGAATATATAGTATTCTGTTTACTTGTTATAATATGTTGTCAATCCTCTTCTATTTTGAATCCTTCTTCTATTAACTTCTCATAATAAATAAATATATCATATTAATTATTCTTCTTTTTGTATCCTACTTATTCATAGGAATATTAATAATATATAATTTATGAATCAAATATATCAATGTTAAACTCACAAAGAAATATTAGTTGGATATAATATAGAAAATTCTGATATTGTAAGACCAATTTGTTCCCGTTGTATTCCTTCTCTTAGTAAAGGATACTTTGGTGAATAAAGATATCTTAATTTCGAATAAGCTACATAATTACTTGATTAATTAAAATAAGCTGGATTATCACAATATAAATCAGAAATCCTTGATCAATTTCAACAGACTATTAATTAGTTATATACTCAATTAAAATTGCTTTATAATCAAATTTCTGTTGTTTTTGATTTGATTATTCAATCAGATCCATAATAAGAAGTATTGGATTCTAAAGATCCGAAATAAATAGCTTAAGTATTACATGAGAATTGTCAATATGATATTCATTAATAAAAATATAAGATTAAGTCTTAAAATGCTATTCATATTAGATTCAATAAAATAATTTCAAAGTCTTAACATCATATGAATGAATGTTTTGAAAGTATCAATTAATAACTCAATTCACTTAAGAAAGAAGAAATAGAATTATCTTAATAAACTAATAATCATAAAAATAATTATAAAAGTTATAAGGAATTATTTAAATTGAATACAAAGGTATAATAAGTTAAATCTCTTGCATATCATGATAAATATAAATAGTTATTTTGTGTTGATTAAGATATCAAAATATTGTAATTTGATCTTAAAACAAAATAATTAATATAAGAATATTCTGCTCATTATGATAAAATTTCAGCTCTTTTAATTGTAAATGATACATTAATATCAACTGCTATAGATAAATCTTTAATTATATGGAATATTATTATTGGTGGAAAAGCAGAAGTTAAAAAATAAATTACTATCAAATCTACAATTCTTTAATTAATAAAATATAAAAATTCATTTGCCTCAATTAATAGTGATAAGGTATTAGCATTTTGGAATGATACTACATGTGTAAATGAATTAAAAAATAAAGTTGAAATTACAAGTATAGATTGTAATTAGGATTATAGTTAAATTGCAATAGGATAAATTGATGGAATTATTAGAATTAGAAAAGAAAAATTTAATATAAAAATAGAAAGTCATTTCGATTGTGTTAAGGCACTTAAATTTATAAATGAATCATATTTAGTATCAGGAGGATGGGATAAATAAATTAAAATATGGATGGAATTAAAAAATGGAGATTATAGTTGTATTTAAACAATTTACGATCATAATTCATATATCAATTTTATAGAATAAGTAGGAGGATATCTTATATCTTCAGATGATGATAAAATTATTAAAATTTGGTAATAAGATAGATAATGGAAAGAAGTATCTTAGATAGGTCGTTATCCTTTAGTTACAGCTATGCATGTTTATTAACGTATTTGTTTCTTGGGATTTGATGATTCTTCAATTCAAGTACTTTAATTTAATTGATTATTTAATTATTATTATCTATCTTTAATTCATCTCATATTTTATTAGATATTTAATAATTGATTATGTTTATATTAATATTAAGTATAATTAAAGTGATTAAATTAAATATTAATTTTATATAAAATAAATGAATTCATCAACAATGTTAAGAGATTTAATTGTAGATCCAACTAATATAGATTAAAATTTATTATGTTTGATTTGTTAAGAATTAGTTATTGATCCTAAGGAATGCAGTTAATGTCAAAATCTATTTTGTTCAGATTGTATAACATCTTGGTTATAAAAAAAAAGTAATAAATATATTTAATTATATAGAAACATGTCCATATAATTGTAGCAATGAAATATAATTGAAGAATCCTCATAGAATAGTCAAAAATTCTATTTCTTAAATAGAAGTAAAGTGTTTAAATAAAGGGTGTGATAAATAAATGTAAATTTAGAGTTTAGATTCTCATTTACTGTAATGTGATTATGTAGAAACAAAATGTCCTTTTCCTGAATGTGATTTTAAAGATAGTTTAAAATAAATAAAAATTCATTAATTAAATTGTGAACATAGAACAAAAAATTGTGAGAAATGTGAAGCAACTTATAAAATCAATTAAGAACATGATTGTTTAATTCATTTATTAAAGAAACTCAAATTATAAGAAGAGAATTAATTTGCCTATTAAAAAAAAACAGATTAAATTATAATGGATTTAGTAGAAAGATTAAATTAATTAGAAAATTTATAAAAAGGATCCAATAAACCAAAATGTTATTAGGGTCATGTATTAAATTGGATTTATCCTAAAAAAGGAATTTAATGTGAATAATGTAAATAAGCAAATGATAATGTGAGATATATTTGTGAACCTTGTAGAATAGGATATTGTTAAAGATGTAAATAACCAGAATTTAAAGGGAATGTTTGTCCTTCTAATCATGTTTTATAATTTTCTTAAAAAGTAAGTAATAATTCTATTTAATTTTAGCCTGGATTTGGTCTGAGATGTGATTTTTGTAGACTTAATATCTGTTCAAAAGGTGACTCTGTTTACAGTGACAGAACCTGTGATTTTGATATTTGTAATACTTGCTTTTAGAAGTTAAAGGTAATGAAATGAGTTGAAGAAATTAGTAATATAAATAAACATAATTCTATCAAAATTATATTATATTATAAATGATAGCTTCTTACAATTAATCAGAATGGACATAATTCTTTAAGTAAAATCCATTAATCTATTTTATTAGTAAAAATAAAGAGGATAAGATGTAGCAAAACATTACAGATATTAACATTTGCTTTGAAGATGTTAATCCATTAAAAATTTATTTTTCCAATATTAATAAACACCCTAAGTTAAAAATCAGTTAAGATGGTTAAATAGTAATAGATTCTTCATTGGGTTCTAAAAAATTCATTGCATGTGATCCTGCAATTCCATCCTAAGGAATTCATTAATTTACATTTTTGATAAATTAATTTGGAGCTGTTTATATTGGTATTTGTATACTAGATAAAATTAACATTGAGAAATATTATTTGGATATTTGGAGTAAAATTAATCATGGGTAAATAATTTAGTTAATAGAATTAGAACTTATTTGTTATGTAATGATGGCTTTGTTTTTTCCAATCATTCTTAGTAAGAAAACAAAGTTGAAACTCATTTAAAGTTTTAATACAATGATAAAATTACAGTAGAAGTTAATCAAGAAGCAAAAACTATTACTTGGAAAAAATTAGGAACTAATGAAATTTTTGTATTAAATATCTAATGATATGAATAGACTATGTAGATATAAAATGATTAGAACTTGTATCCATGTTTGATAATAGAGTCTTCGTAAATTACTATTTTAAATTGAAATTCATTTATCCTTATTAAAATAAAGTTTATAAAATAAGAAATTAAATCAAAATTAATATTTTCTTAATTATATTTAAAGATCTTGAATTTATTTCTAATAATTCATTTGCATTCTTTTCATTTATTCTTATAACTAAAAAATTTATTACTAATATAATTTTATGGTTCTATTTAAATTCACTATCTAATCTTGTTAATTATTAATTTTACACTTCGAGCTTCTTCTTATTCAAAATCACTCGTTTATTATTCTCTTGTAATTTATACTTTGACTTCTTTTTCTTTTTCTAAATTCTCTAATCTTTACCCCATCTTTTCAAATTTCTTTTAGTAATGATGATCAAGCAATGTAATTTTTGAATCTCCTAATTATTTTTATTATCTATCAACTGTATTCTCAATATGTGAAGGTCTGCCACTAAAAAGCAATTTTTCATATTGTTAATCTCTTATGACACAATTCGATACTTTTCTCTCAATTGAATCAAGTAATTAATGAGTTTTTTACATACTTTTTAGAATGAACTTTAATAAAAAAATAATTAATTATTATTTTTTAATTAAATTATTAATTAAAAAAAAATATATTACTCATTTTTTTATTCCCAGATCTTACTTTCCTTTTTTATCTTTAGCTAGATTGTTGATTTTATCAGATAACATATCTTTTTATCCTTTTTTGCAGTTCCTTTATCACCTATTTCTTTTTTTACATAATCAAAATTAGTTCTCTTTTTTCTAATAGATGCCATCTATGCAATTCTTAAATTGATTATTCCATAACAATTCATCTATTATTTATCTTATTTATTTTTTAAGTCAATTTATATTTATTAATAATACTTCTTCTGGTTAAATTGTATAATAAAATTTATTAAAAAATGATAATTCATTTATTTACTATCAGCAAGTTTTGTATATTATTCATCTAAAAATAATAAGGTAAAGATAATTGAGTATCTTCTATGAATTTCTTTTCATCAAAAATCACTTTATGTAAATTAATAAATCTGATCTTATCTCATTAAATAATATTATATAGTATATCATAATTTACATATTTTTAAATCATTAATGTACCTGCTTGATTTGAATTATATTTAGATTGTATTTTAAAGCATCTTTTTTAATACACGACTTTTAAAGGATGTAACAATTAATCAAAACAAGTTTTAAGTGATTTATATGCATTGATGTAAAATAACTATAATTTTCCATAATATACAAACAACTCTTAATCAGACCTTTTCTAATTTTAGTTTTTGCTTGATATAGTTCTCTATTAATTAATTCATTTGAATTTATAAGGCTTCCATAAATTAATTGATGGACTGTTTACGATTTAAATTAAAATATGAAGTTTATATATTGTATTAAATATATATTTATATTTCATTAAAAAATTGAGTACGGCGTTGATCCATTTGGATGTTTACAATCTGGACAAAGATGAATGATGTCTTTACAATCATCTACATAACAAGGTAGACAAGCTAGACAACAGATTCCAAAAGAACATAGAAGTAGAACACATGAAACTATAAATGTACCACTCCCAACTCTTCTGCTTAATTTAGTTTAAACCTTTTAACAATATTAATAAATATTTACTTATTTTTTGCAATTTCTGCAAATGAGTTTAACAGAATGAATTTATCCATCTCCATTTTCCAGTAGGGAGTTGACTAATTTAATTTCTCTAAGACTTGAAATCTAAGGAGATATATTTATAATTGGAATCATCATCTAAGGTGTTTGATCATCAATTTTATTGTTATGTTAATCCTAAGTTTGTATGTATATATTAGCATTTCTTTCAAGATGATGTAATATTTCATCTCCTAGACTTTTGGAGAGTTCTTGGTTAGCCATAAATTAATATTTGGAATTGTTAAATGAATAAATATAAAGGATTGTTCTAAGATACACAAAATAATTAAATAAACAGTTTAAATATAAATATTTTTTTGATAATTAATTCTTTTAGGAGTCGAAATAAATGAGAAATGCGCCTTGAGGTTATATAAAAAATCCTATCTATATTAATAATAAGAACTAAAACTAGTTTTATTATTTATTTAATTTCTATAAAATAAATACACCAATGTCAACTGATATAAGTAATTCACCAAAACCAAAAACATAATCTATGTCTTGTTCCAAATCAGAAATTGTGTCGAATTTTACAGAAGTAATTTATAGAGGTCCAAAAAGTGAAATAATACAATCAAAAAATATTTAAGATGTAGACCAAAATGATATCTAATTGAATAAAACATAGTCTGGAAACTATTTAAATATAATAATAATAGGCTTAGTTATTTTAGGTTTAGTTGCTGGTTTGGTGATAGGATATAAAATAATTAAATAAGGAAATGTTTAAGATGAGGAATAAATGAATGTGTTTGTTAATATAGTCTCGAAATCATTGCTAAATAATCTTGAATAACATAAATTTCTAATTATTGATGAATAATTTAAATAATTGAAAAAGTTTTATGAAAAATAATTAACTAATATTCTATGGCAGAAGGTAAATATATATATATATAATGTAAAAAATAGATTGTGAATCATATTTAATAATAACCTAATGTAATACTTAGTTAAGATAAGAAAAAATGGATATTAAAAGAGTGAAAACATTATTATTTTATTATTGACATTTCACAAATCAAGGAATGATTTAACTTTCTTAATTGTAGCTTCATCTTAAATTTCCCAATTTCCAGTCATAGGATCAATTTTTATTCTTGTTTCTTTACAATAATATGCTGCAGGTACTAATTTTATTACTTAATGTAATGGAATATTTAATTTTGGTATTTCTGGTACTTCATGTTCATGAAAATATGCATATAAACATCTTAATATTGCTTAATGTGCAATAACAATTACAGGTAATCTTGATCTTTCAATCTCAAATATTATTTATTCTACTCTACTAATTACATCAAGATATGATTCTCCTCTTGGATATCTATAAGTTAATTTATTCATTTTGCGTTCTTCATAATCTTAAGGAAATTTATCAGCAATCTATTAATATGTTAATCCATCACAAATTCCTGGATTTATTTCATCCAATGCTTTTAATGAATAATATTCCACTCCCAATAATTCACAAACTTCATTACTTGTATGTAATGCTCTTTACATAGTTGAAGTAAACATTTTAATATTTCTATTTCCTTCTAATTCTTAAACAAAATATTTGCCCAATTATTTTGCATACATTAAACCTGTTTGAGTTAAATCAGAATCACCTCCTACTTTATGAACTACATTATATTAACTTTCTCCATGTCTTGACAAATATATTGGTCTAGGATATATATGCAAATTCATCAAATATGATACTAATTTAGATTATAAAAATCCTTAGATATTATAAATCATAATCTAAATTTATTATATTTTGCTTACATCATTTCCTATATCAATAATCTTTATAAATGAAATGTTCTCATCCATATCAATTGGTTCATAAACTTTAGTATATTATTCAATTCTCTATTGAAAATCTTAAGTAGCTTCTTCGGATGACTTCCCTACATAATCAGGATTATTTAATTTTGTTAATTAAATATTTCTCAAAATTACATCTTCATCATTGCATATTGATTCTACCCAAAATACTTATACTTCACTAAACTTTTATTATAATGTCTCCATTATTAATTTTCTTCTTTACTTTGTTGTATTTGTCCCATCATACAAACTCACATCTCCTTCATTCCTGAGGTAATTTATCATATCATTCAAAGCCAATAAAGCACATTCATCTCTTGCTTTTGATGCCTTTATTTAACAATAATCTCTTACATCTTTATTGCCTGGATCAAAGAAATTTGAGTTGCAATCTGTTCCACATATTTATCTTCTGTAATTTCCAATATTAAAAACTTTACTCTTGAAACCCATCCAATTCAAATATCTGCAAATCTTCCTTGAAATGTAAGTCTTACCTCTTGCTGGTAATCCAACCATTCCAATTACCATCTTTTGTTATTTACCTAACTCTTGCATTAGATTTTATTTTAATAATAATATTTTATTAGACTCATATATATATATATTTTCATTAAATAAATGGGTGTCTCCTTATTTGAAATCTACCAACTCTTTCTCTAAATTAGATATATATCATTATTATGAATTCATATATTACATATGCATGAACAAAATAATTGATATTTATAATAGATATCAATTAATTTGAAATTATATATTATAGAAAATAATCTTTACTCTCATATAGAATTATAAATTTAATTTATATCAATTCTATTGCCACTCATTAAATATTTTATCTTAGGAAAACAAATAATTTACAATTTAATATGAAATAAAAAAATTAAATTGAAGATGAGATCTATAATTTGTATTAATAAGAATCAGTTAAAATTTTAACTAATTTAAAAGATTATTATATAATATAAATAATTTTATTTCTTTCAAAATTGCAATTATAATGATAATAATATTATTTAATAATAATCAAAAACTTTAACTAAACAATTATCTAATCGAAAGTGGCAAAAAAAACTAATAAAATCTAGGATATGTAAGATGACTTTAATATAACATTTAGATTTTGAAATTTTTATTTTAAGATAAATGAAGATTTAAAAAATAAATACAATATTTCTTATTTAACATTTTTTGTAATTATAAAATTTATAAGAAATAACGCTTATTTTAAATTAAATAATATATTCATTGATAATTATTTTGTAAACTGTTGTAGCAACTATTGCAAATATCTAAATCACAAAATCTATCTTAATACACAGATTCTCCTCTTGAAAAAATGTTTTCCAAGCAGTAATCACAATATACTTATGGTAAAGCCTTATTTTATCAATAATATTTACTTAAATATTAAATTGTAGAGCATGACCTATAGGGCAAACACCATCTTTAAATTAAGGTTTTCTACATTATTAACAATAATATGTTCTACACTATTCACAAATATATCGAGCTGCTGAAGTAGAAAGCTTACAATTTTAGCATAATGCATTATTTTAAGGGTAAATCCATTTCAATATGTGTCCTTAAACACATTATGGAATAATCCTTGATTAACTACTAATCAATTATTTCTATTCATATTAAATAACCTTTTATAGTAAATCAGCAATAATTTTATTAGTATGCTGTTAAAATTATTAAAAGTTAGTCTGAACTTCTTTTATTTTGTGGTTTAATGATTTGATACATTCATGATGCTCAAATATTATAAATTATGTATTGCATTTATCACAATAAATTTTACTTATTTAACCTTTTCCTAAAAAATTAGATAACTCTTTTGAAAAATTTAATTTATTCTTGCAATTTTTGCGATGATTTTCAAAATCTTCCAATTTCATTTATTATTCACATCCATGATTTTCACACTTAACAAGAATTTATTGGATAGCATTCTAAAACATTCGATGAGGTTTACTTAATATAATTTATTTGCACATATTAGGGCATGTTTCTATGTAAAAGAAAATTAATTACATTAATTTTGCAACCATTAATTAATGCAAAAAGTACAAAATAATGTTTAACACGATTAACATTCTTGAGGATCAATAACAAATTCTTGACAAATTAAGCATAATAAATTTTGATCTATACTTTATGGTTTTATTATGAGATTTCTTATAAAGTATTTTACCTAATCCATGCTTATAATTATTATTGTTATTTAAATTATTTAAATATTTATAACAAATTTAATTAAAATAATTAGCAAAATAAATTTTATTAATTGTTTACTTCTGATCATTTACAAATAATTGTAGAAAAAAATTATTAAAATCGAGTTAATAAATAATATTCATTAAAATTATTAATAATCTAAATTATTCTCACATATATCTATAATTAAGTATAAATTTAATTAATCAAATCTTTATTTTTAATAATATTTTTATTAATAATGGAATGGGTAAGATTAGAGATCATTGTCCCTGCAATTCTCATTATATTATATTACTTGTATTATAGAAAATTCAGATTTTATTTAATTGCTGAAAAAGCTCAACCAAATGTGCTCAGACATAAATTAGCTAGAGGAACACCTCCTCCTTCATATCCAAATGGTTGGTATAGACTTTGCAGAAGTGCAGAGTTGAAGATAGGGTAATAAATGATGTTATATTTAATAGATAAGTAGAAGAAATCAAATTTGCTGGTCGTCATATTGCTTATTATAGAGGAACAGATAAAGTCGTTTATGCTGTGGCTGCTTATTGTCCACACATGGGGGCTAATCTTGGAATAGGTGGATAAGTCAAATTTAAGTCATGTATCGAGTGTCCATTCCATGGATGGGCATTTGATGGTAAATCTGGATTATGTGTAAATTCTGAAAAATTAGATCCTAAAATTGTATCAACATATTGTTACAATAATATTGAGAAGATGGATCCTAATAAGAAAGGAGAGTATTTACAAAAAATAGAAGAAGGTGAAATAAAAATTAAAACTTATTTGGTGAAAGAATTAAGAGGGATAGTGTATATATGGCTTCATTGTTTAGAAGCTAAACCATGGTATGAACCAGTTTCAGAATAAAGTGATCATCTTTAATTAAGAGGAGAAAGTGTGAATTTTGTAAATTGTCACATTTAAGAAATTCCTGAAAATGGTGCTGATGCTAGACATTTCGATTATATTCATTCATCAGTTAATGATTATATTCCAACTTGGATAGTCAGTTTCAAATGGACAATGAAAAGTTTACCTGCAAATGACCCAGATTTCTTTAAAAAGATGGAACATAGCAAAGAGAAGGTTCGTAAATATTAAAAGAATCTATTTGATCAGTATTTATCAAATAAGGAATTACGATAATATATGAATGTTTTATGTTTGGATGCTTATTTAGTATTCTTTAATAAATGGAAATTTAATGTAATTTGGGCAACTGGATTTTAAATGGGACCAGCAACAGTAGCCTTATATGTATTATCTGATGTTTTTGAAGCTTTATATAAATAGGCCATTCAACCAGTTGAAAGATTTAATTTGAAAGTGTTTCATACTTTATACACAACAAGTTCACTTCCATATTGGGCTAGTGCTTATATTTTAGGAGGAGAATTAAGATAAGTAATTGCAGATGTTAGTTTATGGAATAATAAGATCTTTACAGAAAAGGTCGCTTATAATTTAAAGGGTGATGCAGATCCATTATTATTAAAATGGAGATAATGGTATGCTCAATTTTATGAGGGATCCAGAGAATTTGAAAAAAGTTTAGATGCTCTAGAATGGTGAATATGAATTTAATAAATTAAAAATGTTATAATAAGAATAATTATTTATTGTTCTAATAGTGTTAGTTATAATAGCAATCATTATTGCACATTTAATAACCAAATGTTAAGGTAGAGAAAAAGAATAATAAGTAAAGGATAGATTGAGAAAGAAGTTTATTAAAAATAATATTGAAACATTAAATGATATGAATGAAGAAGAAGCTTTATTATTATAGGAAACATTTAAAAATACATTAGAGAATTCTAAACAAGGAAAAATTGCAAAATATGATGCTAGGATGTAAAAAATATAAGAAATTAGATAAAAAACTGTAAAATTTATTCTTACACATGAATGATTTTATAATTGTATATAACCATAATATTTATATTGTTATCTGGTTATATAGAAATAAAATTATTAACAGATCACAAATTTTATTATTATTTTATTTATTAACAATGCTCCCTGATTCTAAGTATAATATTATATTATCCATAAGCAATCAGCAAATAACTAAATTGTCTCCTAAATTAAAAGGAATAATAGTATCCCAATTAATTAAGACTTAAGCATCTCTCACTTTGCAAGATGCATTTATAAGGTAAGCTACTTTCCTATTCATTTTAGATGGTAAGTCAGAACTAACCCAGAAATTGTGAAATAGGCTGTTGACAAAATCCTATTAAATTCTAAGTTGAATTAATTTAACGCTTTCCATAAACTCAAATTCTTATTAGGGTATTATAAACTATAAGGTAAATAGCATTAAACCACCTAAGGAGGCCAGAATGAATGCAAGGAAAAAAAAAAATTTGAGTTTAATCAATTTGGCCTTATTTATTCAAAAAAAAGAATTATAACTCAAAAGATAGGCAATTGATTCTATTAAACCTACATCTTAAGATACCAATAAAATGCTTGGCTTATTGATTTGGTCAATAAGTTCAAAGTATAGAGAAAGATATTTACGAGAAAAATTTAATTGGTGGAAGTTAATTGCTAAAATCAAATCTAATAAATTAGAAAAACAACTAAAAGCATTAGAAAAATTAGGAGAAGAATATAATATGAGAAATGATAGATTAGATAGATAAAGATTAAAAGAAGTATATAATTACATAATTATTAATAGGCATTTGAAATTTGGAGAGGAGACTTATTGAATTTCAGATTAAAGAAAAAGTTCTTTGCTGTACTACTTAAAACAACATTTGGAAGATTATAAAGATGTTATACAAGATGGGTCGATTTACCAGATAAAAGAGAAAACGATATTAAAAAATAAGGATTATTATTAATTAATAAATTAGGCAATAAAGTAGACTAAAATAAAAGATTAGTTTGGAATGCCTTCAAAGATATTCATGATGAAGCAAAAAATAAAAAAACTAAAGTCATTAGAGAATTGATTGAAGTTACATTTAATTAATCTTATACAGCATTTTATAAATGGGCAAATTATAATACATATGCAAAATTAACTGAAACTAATCTAAAGAAAATTAAATCATTATAATAGAGTGCAAATGTAACTCATTAATTAGTCAAACAAGAAACTTTCAAATTATTTAATCTTAGTAATAAGATGCAAATCTGTTCATTCTTAGATAAACTCATTTTGAAGTTATAATAAAGATAAAAATTAGATGCTTTCAAATAAATTGAAAATTACTGTGTTTAAAAAAAAATGGAATAAAAACTTAATAATATTAACAAATAAGATTTGATATCAAGATTAAAAGATACAGCTAATAAGACTGAAAAAGGTTTACTTAAATAAATCTTAAGAAAATTCTAAATCAATAAAACAACCTAAGAGATCAAAAATAAGTATTTTGGTAAAATACTCTTATCTATTAATGGATAATTGATTGATTCATTTAGAAAATGGAAAGCTTTGCCAAATCCTGATGATATAAACAATATCTAAAAGGTTTCTAAATTTTCAATGAAATTGTAACTGTTTATTACAAATAAACACAAATAAGCTTATGATCCTTTGAAATATCTATATTATGAAGCCTTATAGAAGAAAAGATTTTGTATAAGATAATTATTTTCAGTTACAATGAGTGCTCCTTAGAGATATTTAAAATAATGGTAAAATGTAGCTAAAGTCTATAAATCAATAGTAGCATGTTAAAAAACAAATAATTTCTTTTATTCTTTAGCCATGATAATATAATCAAATCTACTAACATTCATTTAAAATAAAAAAGATATAGATATTAAAGAGAAATGTATCTAAAAAATAATAGGATCTTAACATAGTAATTTAGCAATTGCCTTTTTTAAATGGAAAAGTCATAATAAATAAGAGTAAATTTTGGAGAGATTAGGTGATGAGAAGATGAAGTTTCTCATTTTAAATTTATAGAAATTCTTAGAAAATGATAAAAAGTAAAGATTAAGAAGAACTTTAAATCTATTTCATTAGAACTTTTAATTAGCATAATAAATAAAGAAAATAAATCTTAGATTAATGTAAACTGTAATAGGATAAGTAAGTTCTAGTTTTTAGAAATGGAAATATTTACCAGAAGATAAAATAAATGGAAAGACTGCAAGAGTAAGTAAATTTATGATATCACTTGGAAAAGTTGCTTATAGATTTGTCAAAGTAAATTCATGGAATATTTTGGAAGATCATTTATTAGATGGTTAAGCTAAAAAGAAGTATTGTATAAATAAAATTATTTCTGTTGGTTAAAGTGATTTAAAAACAGCATTTTTATCATGGCATAGAAGATCATGGGAAATGAAGATGTTTGATTAGTTTTCATAATTAAATGTTACATTAAATGATGAAATAATTAAATAAAGATTAGTTAATTGGATTAATTCTGGTTATAAAGTAAAACATTATGCATTAATTGAAATATTAAAGAGATTTCATTAAAATGCAGAATCTCAAAATTTAAAAAGAAAAGCATTAGCAATAATACATAGAAATACAATTTCTTAAGTTTGGATATCATTTAATAAATGGAAGCAAATTCCTGAACTTGATTATGCTTAATTAGCAAAGGTTACTAAATTTGAATAATCTTTTAATCATTTCATAATTCGTTAATTAAAGAAAAAAACATGGAATCCATTACATGAAATATATGATGATGCTCTTGCAATTAAAAAAAGAGCAGTATTATTACTTGTTAAAACATAAGAATCAGAATAATAAAAGGCACTTAGTAAATGGAATAAGAATGTATGTTTGATTTAGGAAGTTTAGAGATGTAAGAGTGTTATGTAATTATTTAAATTTATTGGTAATCAAATTTAATGTAATTTATAAATTATGCAACCAAATACAGAATCAAGATTAAAGGAAAAAGCAATATTAAAGATAATTGAAGGAAATAATGATAACATAAGATATTTCTTTATGAGATGGATTAATTACATAAAATTTGAAAGAATATAAGCAATAGAAGGAGAGAAAAAAGAATTTTTGGTTCGTTAAATAGGATTCTTTTATAGAAATAACATAAAATCTAAATTAAGATTGGTATTATCTAAATTCAAAAGAAATTCAATACTAAGTGCAGTTTAATAAAAGTTTTTTTCAAGATTATTTGCTACTAAGTTTGGAGGAGCAATTGTAGCATTTTAAAAATGGAAAAATTTACCTGAAATATAAAATTATGAAGATATTAAAAAAGGAAGAAAATTAGAAAAAATATTGGAAAACCTTTTTAGAGGAAGAATCAAATTATCATATGATCCATTAAAAGATGAATATTAAGAAGCTATGAATAAGAAAATGCATTGCATTAGAAAATTAATAATCTTAGGAATGGGATTAAATAAAAGATTATTTTTGTAATGGAGAAATACAAATAGGTTATTGAAATCTATTGAAACTTGTAAATAAACTACAAATTTCTTCTAAACTCTTGCATTAACAATATCTGGAAATGTCTAAGTCATTTTTAAGACTAATCAACTTTAAGAGAAAGTCTTTGAAAAAATGTTATCTTAATATACAAATTTATTAAGATGGGCATTTATTAAATGGAATAATTAAGCTAAATCTGATAAAATTGCCTCATTAATGGATGAAGAGAAAAAAAAGTTTTTATTATTTGCTCTTTAAAGAAATTTAAAACATAATGAAATTGGTTAATTAAGAGATATCTTAAGAAAATTTAATGATGGTAGAAATAGATTAAATTTAATTAAAAAATTATAATTAAAATTATTACATACATTTGCAGGTTAAATTGAAACATCATTTTTGAAATGGAAATAATTACCTGATCAATCTAATATAAAATAAGCATCAATATTTGAATAGAAGATTAATTCATTTAAAATGTAAATATTAAAAAAGAATAGTTTTAAATATTTATAAAATATATACTATGATGGATAAGCAAAATAGAAATATGCAATAAATAAAATGATGTTTAATTGTATGAGTGTAGAAAAGAAGGTATTCTAATAATGGAATAAAGTAAGTGAATTATAAAAGGCAGAAGAGAGAGCTAGTAAAGTTTTTAGATTCTTTGGTTCAATAAATCAAATTCAATAAAATCATATGTATTTCTTTTATGAGGATTAAATTAAATAATTGAAAAAGTAGGAAGAATTAGTTCGTTTATTAAAAGAATGGGAAGATATGTTTAAAGATTCTTATTAGAAATGGAAATAAACTCAAGCAAAATTAGATTTATTGGCTAGTTAAAATAGATAGAAATAAAAGTTTTCTATAATTGAAATACTTAAAGATTATATTTAGAATAAAAAGAATTACAATTTAAGATTGATATTAAGAAAGTTTAGTAATTCAAATAAAAGTTAAAAGGCAATTAATAAGTTTTTATTGGGAATATCAAATTCATCAATTGGTTAATTACATAATTCATTTTAAATGTGGAAGAGATTACCTGAACCCTAGAAAACTAAATAAGGGTATATATTTGAAAAGAAAATGTTTGGTTTATTTAGAAGATAATTATTACTATCATTCGATAGTTTATAAGATCTTTATTTTTAGGCATTAAATAAAAAGAGAAGAGTTGTATTATTATTAGTAAGAACAACTAAATCATAATAATAATAAGCAATATAAAGATGGCGTGATGCTATTAATTAAATGAATTAATAAGAGATATAAAATGTATAAGAAAATAGAAAGTTAGCTATATAATTATTTTATTAACACAAAATGAATTAGTTGAATGTAGCCTTTATTGAATGGAGAGATACTATTAGAATGCATGTTAATAAATAAGAAAATAAAACTTAAAAGGAAGAAAGATTGAAAAAAGAAGCCATTTTATTGTTCCAAAATTATGCATATGTGAGATTAAGAGTTTATTTCACTTAATGGAAGATAAGAGCAGTCAAAAGAAATATGATATAGATTTGTTAAGCAATATAAAGAATGATATAATTAAATAGATTTGCTGAAAAGGCTATTAAAAAATATGTAATGGATATTTGGAAAGGATAGCCATCCAAAAATAAATGGTTTAAGAGAGTAGCTGATATTATAGCTAAGAGTTCTAGAATTAGTAAATAAGTAGCATATTGGAGAATGAGAGATAATAGTTTAAATTAAAGAGCAGTTGGATTATCTACTTAATAAATTATTAAATTCAAGAAACTTTTCAATAATTTATCTAAAGCTTTTGATAGAATTAAATAAAGAGCATTTACTCATTTAGAACATTATGGTAAAGGTATACCTGATGATACTTCATTTTAACCTTCACATTCTAGTTTCTTGTAATAGACTCCTATAAAGGGAGGTTTCTTTAAATCAGATTTTGATTTAATTATATCAAAGAATGGTTAAAAAATGGCACTTAATTCTATTTCAAGAATCTTTAAAGGGTATCTCAAACAAAGATTTATAGAATTTATGATTGAATTAGATGATTAAAAATAAAGAAATATATCAACTCCATAAAAATAAGGAGTAGAGAAGTTATTTGCAATTCTAGAACAAAATTTGAAATTGAAGCAATAAGTTATTTGTTATTAAATATCATAAGTAATTATAATTAAAAGTTATTTAGGTTAATGAATAAGGAGTACTGAATTAAATAAATGAAATTATTAATTATTAGTAATCAACTTAAAGTGCTAGTAAATTAGAATTAAGTTAAGTAAAGGACTAATAGATTAAACTTAATGAATAAGAAAGAATGATAGAGGATTTGTAAGAGAAATTAAGATGCATAGCTATTAATAAGTTGTATTTTATTTAAAATCTTTAGATTAATCAAAGCCTTTTAAAGACATGAAGATCTTATTATTGAGGATGCATTTTTAAGCATTTCTGAATACTAACTTAAATGAATAATTATCATATAAAATGAAGCAATATCAATATAATAAGATTGATGAAATTAAAATATATATTTAATCATGGGAAACACAACTTCTAATCATTCTCAAATCACAGCAGTCCTAACTGAATATCCTATGTAAAATAAAAATTGTCTTATTGCATCTCATTCCGCATAAAGAAAAATATTAAAAGCAGCTTCAAAAGGAAATGAATTACCTCAAAGAAGTAATCGTCGATTTGCTCCAAATATTGTTAAATCCTTAGAGTTCAAGAGTGAAGGTAATCATTATATACAAATCAAACAGTATAGAAAAGCTATTGAATCTTACACATAAGCTATTGTATATTGTATTATCAAACTAGAATCTCTATAATCACAATTCTATATACTTCTCAAATCGTTCTGTAGCTAATAAACTTCTCAATAGATTCCAAGAAGCTAAATAAGATGCTCAATAAGCTCTTAAAATAGATTAGTAGAATTCAAGAGCTCATTTCCTTTATGGAACTGTGATTTTGATAGAAGTTCAAATGTTTCCCGATATTAGCGAGGCTCTCATAATATAAGCTTAATTGGGAATCAAAGAACTTGAATGCGGTAATTTTAATTTTATATTTATAGCTTTTGAATAGGTTAAATTAAATAAAAATGAATAAAAAAATAAATTAAAAGTTTTGATTAATTAAAATTTGTCTAAAGGAAAAAGAATGATATATTTGATAAGATAAGAAGTAGATAAAAGAAGTACGCTTTTATAATCATTCCTAAATAGATATCCTATCTCTAAAATAAACTTTAAAGGATATTGCACATAGATAACATCATCAATTAGATTGGCATCTTATTGAAAAGAATATCCATAAGAAAATGGAAATTATATTACCAGAATACTTTTAATGTCCTATCACAAATGAAATAATGGATGAACCCACACTTCTCAATTCAGGCTTAACATATGATAAATTTAGTATCCACTAATAATTTAAATAAAATGGTTATGTGGATCCTATTACTAGAGAAAATATAGATCCTTTAGGATTGATTTAAAACATCTAATTATAATAAGGAATCCAAGAAATTCAATCAAAATATGGATGGGTAGGGGTTGAAAATGAAAAAGACTATAAGGCAATTAAATTTGAATGATTTACTTTGTATTATGTATGATGTATTAAATAATAATTCTTATTCAATCCTAATCTAATCTTTCTTTTTCACTATATTATATATTATTATTCCAATTTCAACTGCTTTCTATTTTTTTGATTTAAGTTTTGATTAATTTTATTTCGCTTTCTGCATAAAAGATATTTATTAATGATGTTCTTTATCAGTTTTCTGTGATTATTATATTAATTTTTTGTCAATTTCTCAAGATTTTTCAGTTTAAATCCTTTTTGTTATCAGAGACCATTAGCCTATCAATTTAAATATCACTGATTTAAAGTGAAGATCAGTAATTGAATACAAAAAGCCTTGAAAATACTTATGAAAGTACTTAAAATTTTCCTAATTGTTTAATCCATTTATCTTATAATAACCCTTTATCTTATGGCATACTTTATTTCATAAACTGAAATTAAATTAGAGAAATTCCTTATAAATTAGAAAGTGCAAAATTAAGAGTTTATATNTTCTCAAATCGTTCTGTAGCTAATAAACTTCTCAATAGATTCCAAGAAGCTAAATAAGATGCTCAATAAGCTCTTAAAATAGATTAGTAGAATTCAAGAGCTCATTTCCTTTATGGAACTGTGATTTTGATAGAAGTTCAAATGTTTCCCGATATTAGCGAGGCTCTCATAATATAAGCTTAATTGGGAATCAAAGAACTTGAATGCGGTAATTTTAATTTTATATTTATAGCTTTTGAATAGGTTAAATTAAATAAAAATGAATAAAAAAATAAATTAAAAGTTTTGATTAATTAAAATTTGTCTAAAGGAAAAAGAATGATATATTTGATAAGATAAGAAGTAGATAAAAGAAGTACGCTTTTATAATCATTCCTAAATAGATATCCTATCTCTAAAATAAACTTTAAAGGATATTGCACATAGATAACATCATCAATTAGATTGGCATCTTATTGAAAAGAATATCCATAAGAAAATGGAAATTATATTACCAGAATACTTTTAATGTCCTATCACAAATGAAATAATGGATGAACCCACACTTCTCAATTCAGGCTTAACATATGATAAATTTAGTATCCACTAATAATTTAAATAAAATGGTTATGTGGATCCTATTACTAGAGAAAATATAGATCCTTTAGGATTGATTTAAAACATCTAATTATAATAAGGAATCCAAGAAATTCAATCAAAATATGGATGGGTAGGGGTTGAAAATGAAAAAGACTATAAGGCAATTAAATTTGAATGATTTACTTTGTATTATGTATGATGTATTAAATAATAATTCTTATTCAATCCTAATCTAATCTTTCTTTTTCACTATATTATATATTATTATTCCAATTTCAACTGCTTTCTATTTTTTTGATTTAAGTTTTGATTAATTTTATTTCGCTTTCTGCATAAAAGATATTTATTAATGATGTTCTTTATCAGTTTTCTGTGATTATTATATTAATTTTTTGTCAATTTCTCAAGATTTTTCAGTTTAAATCCTTTTTGTTATCAGAGACCATTAGCCTATCAATTTAAATATCACTGATTTAAAGTGAAGATCAGTAATTGAATACAAAAAGCCTTGAAAATACTTATGAAAGTACTTAAAATTTTCCTAATTGTTTAATCCATTTATCTTATAATAACCCTTTATCTTATGGCATACTTTATTTCATAAACTGAAATTAAATTAGAGAAATTCCTTATAAATTAGAAAGTGCAAAATTAAGAGTTTATATAATTGATAATTGGCTTAAACTAATTTCAATTTTATAGGAATATATTACTAATTTTAAATAATAATTTTACCTCATTATGAATTTTATTTTTTAATATTATTTAAATTATGATTAAGCTTATTAACTAAGAGATAAATTAGATGTATTCTTTTTAGATTTTATTAAATGTATAATCTAATTTAAATAAAAAATAGGTGAATTATATATTTATTTTTATTAATAAAATTATACCATATAATTGATATTAACTCATAAATTTAATAATTTTTTCAATTAGCTTCTACACTCTTCCATATTCTTATCTAATTCTTCCTATTAAATAAATAAAATCAAATAAATACAGATAGCCAATCGATTTCTAAAAGATAATCCTATAGCAAACAATTATTGTCAATAGATATCAACTCTTCATTATCATGTGATAACAAATATAAGTAAAATGCATCTGCTAATTGTTTTCTTACTTTAGGAAAACTAAATATATAAATCTAATAAATTACTCGCTAGTTAATATATCATAGATATGTTAAATGATTTGATGAAATAATTCAGCATTGATTGATAAAATATCAATAATTAATTGAACACTGGCTGATAATTTATTAATTGATTAAGTCTTATGAGTTTCTTTGTAAATCAATTAGATTAAGGTTTCAGTGTATTATTTAATCATAGGTAATGATTGTATTTCTTCTTTTTGTAAAACAAGTGAAGCTGTTTTAAATAATGGAATAACAACTCTTTCATCTAATGCATATAATTTAAGTATTTCAATCAAATTAGTCATTATAAGATCAAGATTTTGATTATTTTGTATATATTAAACTAATGCTTCTTCACTAAATTTTTGGATTGATTCACTAATTCCTCCCACACTTATACACAATCCTGTTAAGATATATCTACAAAATGTAGGATAAGCAAGAATTGGAACTATTAATCTATAGCAACAATGTGGTAGATTCCAATGATAAATTAGATCAGTTTTTCCAATATTTTAAAGAAGATCTTTTAAATTTTTGATTTCAGCCTCAATTATTTCACTTTAGAAGGTTTGATCAACTCTTTCTTAATCCTTTATTATAGTTTATTATAAATTGGCAGTTGAGAATATAGCAGATATTTATTCGTAATTTTCAAATTTTTATAATTTAGGAAATACAGATTTAAATAACTCTTACAAAACACTTCCAGCTAATAATCTGACTCTATCAATCTTTTCACATAATTATTATAATAATTATCCAATAATTTTGATAATACATTATTCATTTATGATTATATTATTGATATGATTTCGTTCAATATATCCTACATAACTGACTAAAATAGATTGTATTGCAATAATTGAATTTTCTCTAATGAATAACCCAACATCTCCTTTTTTATTTACTGTGTAATCCAACATAGCATAAAGAATGCAATCAATAACAGGTAAGAGTTGAGCATCACAATTAAAATTATTGTTTAATTAATTAATTATCCCTTATCCAAGAGACTTTATTGCAAATTTTCTTGTGTCTGGATCTATACTCCAACTTGTTAATTTTGCTCTTTTTTTTGATAATCCAATAGTATACAATATACTGAGATCTTCATTATGGAGTACTTATGGTGAAAAGGCTCCTACACTTTAAGCATATCCACCTTAAATTAATACTTATGCATTAGTAGACTTTTGATTTAGTTATTTTATAATTCTTTTTAAGAATTCTTTACCATCAATCAAGAATTGGTCTTAAGTTTGATATTAATTACTTAATAATCTTAAAGCTTTGGCTGCTGATATTTGTATTTCTTCCAAAGGATTCTTTAATCCATCTTCTATAAATTTCAAATAATATGCATGTTATTCTACTTATAATGGTAATTTAGAAATAGAGATGCATTCAATTAGTCTATAGGAAGCAATTCTAATTTATTCTCCACTCTTTCCTTTTAAAGAATCCTCTAATAATTTAGGTATTTGCATAATCTCATGTATAATTTCTTATGAAAGTAAATTCATATTGTCTACTTGAAGTAATTGCTCATATTAAGTTTTAAATATTGTTATATGTTCTCCAGCTTTTGCTAATTATCTATCATTTTTAGTTAAAGTTCTAAGGAAAACTGAATCTTTTAATTCTTTCTCTTCTGAATTCTTAGTGATATTTCCTGATTATGCAATAAGTAAATCTCCTAAAGCAAATAAAGCACCATGTTTTTAATTCAATGATTGTAATCTTACCATTTTCAAAATACTTTCATAAATCAAATTATCTTTAAAATAAGTTGGATCCAAAACTAGTAATCTTCCCAAACTCTTAGCAGCCAACTTTCTAACTTCTTTATCTTGACTTGCTATTTTAATAAAAGCTAAATGATCAACCATTTATTTATAATATTCTGGATAGGAAGCTATAAATGGAGCAATTCTTAAATAAGCATTATGAATCATAGCCAATGAGAAATAATCAGCTTCTGTTAGAATACTTATACCATGTGGTATAATGTTTGGACATCTTCCTACCAATTCTTAGAATGTACTTGAGGCGGCTCTTCTAACATTTACTTCTCTATCAAAGATCATAACAATAACTAGATGTTATGCTAAAGCGAGAACATGATTTTTTAATATATCAGGATCATATGCTCTTGCAGCTGACCAAGCAATAAAACAGGCTGAATCTCTTACATTTACACCAATACTATAACCTCCTTAATTCTATTCAAAAATCAAGGCTTTGCAAATAATAGGAATAATAGATTCTAATTTATTTTCAAGAATTAATCCTCTTCTACATAATTCTCCTAATGCTAAACATCCACCATGCCATGCAGTGTCTCCATTTATTGGAGTAAAACATGTGTTGATTAATGAATCAAAAATATCATCTGCTTAATCTAAATTCAATCGAGCACAGATTCTACCTATACCCTTTGCAGCTGACCATCTTACAACAGTATCCTTATTTATTATTTATTATAATAAAGTATCTACAACAGTTTCTAATCCTTCCTAATCTACATCTAAGAAATAATCTACATCTTCTAATTAAATATTTGATTGTTATTATTATTATAATTATTAATTTGTTCTAGATATTTGTGAATTAGTGACAATTCTTGAATAATCAATAATTTTTAATGTTTATTATAGATTAGTTGTACCTTTTTTATATGTCCAACTAACTACTCTTGGTCTTAAATATACTAATCCAATTCTTTAAGTTAATTTAGTTAGAAACAAATTAATTAAGGTACCTTATTATTTCAAGTTTAACAAAGGTAATAAGATATACAGATTATCCTTTAAAACATCTCTTTAAACTACTTTAAGAATTTCTACCAATGTTTCTAGAATTCCTGTAATATAAAAAGTATTAAGTATATTATCTTGCAAATCATGAATTTATTTAACACTCCATTTCAAAAATTATTCTAATAAATTGCATTTTAAGATATCTGTTCTACTAAACAATTTAGATAAATATAATGCTCCCATATTTCTTAATTTTGTGGATGATTTTAAATAATTGACTCCCAAATTTAATAATGAGTTTATGATTGTATTACTTGAAGTAAAAGTGTCTTAAATAGAATTGAAAATTTAAGAATCTATTGAATTTAAATCAAATGGAACTAATACTATAATACTTAACCACATTAATATAACATATTTAGTTTCCCAATTCTAATTAAGATCAGTTGAACAATTTTACAAATACATAACAACTGGTTCCAAATTGCATACTTCATGTGGACAATATCTACTGATTGTTCTTATTCCTCTCACTTTTGTTAAAATATAAATTGTATCACAAATGTTATGAAACTCCTCACAAATGCTTTGTCCAATATTATTGATATATTTTAACACATACACCTTTACTACATCCATCAGACTCACACAAATCTATTCTAAGATTTAATCTAATAATGTATTTTGTTCTTGGTATTTTTCAAATATATGACATACTCTATTCTTTACTTTTATGAATGGGAATTTCTGCAATTAGGTATTGTTTTCATTTTACACAATGAATTTTTATGTAAAATATACACACATATTTTTTATATCCTTTATTATTATTTCAAAATCCATTTACAATTATTCCTCGTGCTACTTAGTTGTCATCTATTATTCAGAAATACAATATGCAGCACTCTATTTATCTTACTCTTCTAATTCATCATATTGTAAGTTGTTATATTTCTTTCTTAAATTCAGATCTTCTGATTCATAATAAAATGCCATTGTTATTTTTATAAAAGAAATTAATGTTAATTTATATTATCACAATTATTCCCTTAATATTAATATATAATTCCAAAATACTTCAACATTCTGATTTCTTGTTGTATCATTTCCAATAGTCACACTTAATTAAAATATACTTAATATCTAATCCACTATAATTTTTATTTACAATTGACTCTTATAATATTTGAGTCATTTTATTTTATCAAGTTAAATCCGGATTGAACAATAATCTTTATTATCTTTTATTAAATAATATAAATCTAATCCATTTATAAAGCCATGATATTCTGTATATATTGCATCCACATTAATTAAATTTAAAATTGCTACCAAATCTCTTATTATCTTATTAGATCACCTTTACAAGTTCCTATAGTACCAAATGAGCGTCTAAACATTGCAACTTCCTTTAAAATGCTTAAAAGTAAGTCTTCTTCCAAAAGGTTTCTCTGAAATTTTCTCTCAAATATCCTGCCTTCATTTTAAAAGGCCTAATAAGATTTTTATTAATAATTATCTTGAAATGTATCGGAAGCTAATTAATAAGTAATTGGCAGCTAATATTTCTGTCTTTAAGAATTTTAGCTCATTAATTGATAGTTTACATTTTCTTAATTAATTTATATTAATATATCAAATTTTATGAAAATATTTGGAACTTTTTTTTATCATAAACTTAATAATCTTATTAAATAAATTAATGGAGTGGCTTAAATTAGAAAATGTATTACCCTTGTGAATTTTGCATTATCATTAAAGTTTAGATTCTCTGATTTAGATGATGTTATCATAATTTTTTGTGGGCTCTAAAGAATTTGAGTAAAAATTAGATTCTTAAGCGTATTGAACTAAATTGCAAAAATATAATTTACAAGTTATTTGATTCTTAAATTATTTTTGACAAAATATTTTCAAAAAAATTAAAACCAACACAATTTACATTATCAGATATTTATTTTTGTTCAACAAATTTTTTTGGGCTCCGATTGCCAATCAAATGACGGCAACACTTAATATAAGTATTTACAAGATGATTTCCAAGAAAATAACGATTTAATCCTTTTAAGTTCAACAAAAATAAAAATGAGCCTTTTGGATAAAATATTACTCTTCCTTAGAATGTAAAAAGGAATTGTATCAAATAATAATTTTACAAAAACTTCATTTATTAGCGTTTTTAATTTTCAATTAAAATTTAATTTATTCATAATGGCTTATTTATGATTGTAATTATTTTTATTTTTGATAATTTTTATTTTATTTTTTTAAAATCATAAATGTCATTTAGAGATATGAAGAGAAAAATCATGAAAAATGTAGCTTTTTTTATTAAATAATAATGGTTTATTTTCATATGATAAAATTGATAGTAATTTTTTATTCATATTGTACTTTTGTACTAGTAAATATGGTTGTAAGTTGGATTATTATTTGGTTCTTAGTATTGTCTGAATTTGGTTTATAGTATTACAACATCGTAAGAAGTTACCTTAAAGTCTGGTTTTGTAGTTAAAAACATCTAAAATAGAAAAGTTAAGTTATATAATTTAGGTTATTAATGATTGAAAAAAATTAATTCAAAAAATTATATATTTATTATTCTAATATACTAGCCAGAAGCTGACAAGTGTATTAAAAAATGTTTATTAAGATACTTAACAATCTAAGGGATAATTGTTATGTTTTAGAGTTAAAATTTAATAAAATATTTTTAGAGGATTGCAAATTTAATAATAAATTAATCAATTTATCACAAAATAAAAAAAATAAATATATACTTATAAAAGATTATTAATTGTTTAGTTAATTTTCTAAATTACATTCTTAATTTTAAAATATATTTATCTACTTAAATAGTATTATTTATCGTATAATTAATTTTATCAATTTAATTCATAATTATTATTTTAATTCTTAGATAGCAATACTTCATAATTATTATTTTATTACTAAGTTAGCAATGAAAATTGTATCTATATA